TTAAGTTGGGCGCCTCACATGACAGCCACCAGACCCCGCAGACCCCCCCATCTTCCCAGGTAATCGGAGACGCCAGAAGCACGTGACATCCGTTCCGGCAGAAAGGTCAAAACAGAGAAATAGAGACATAGCCTAGATCTTAAAGCTCATATTTTATTGGACTTTATCCTTAGTCTGAACAGTTTGCAAGAGCCCTGCTTCTAGCCTCAGACAGGAGCATATGACCCAGTGTTGGGATTGGGCTCAGAGCACTGAATATCATGGGTGTGATGACTGGTTCCTGGATAAGCACATGACCTACAATTGGCCAGTTAATAAGATTTCTGCTCTGGTGGCCAGAAGCTGAGCTGCAATCCTGAAGGGGCATGGTTCAAGGCCACCAGCTGCTCCATGGGAGAAGGAGGGGCAATCTCTTCCTGCGTGATTAACTGCCTCTGGAATCCTGCCAGAGGGTCAGCTATGGGTTGGTTCTGATTTGACAGTAAACAACAACTATGACTTTTTAATTGAAGCCCTTGGAAAGAACACCTTTCCCCTCCTACACTTGGTACTACAAGTAGTATAGAGGTTATAAGCCTGAAGGTGCTACCCCCAAACCAAAGCCACTGCCATCTGGTCAATTCCAATGCATAACAACCTTACAGGACAGAGTGGAACAGCCCAGAGGCAGTTTCCAAGGCTGTGTCTTTAGAGAAGCAGACTGGCACATCTTTCTCATATGAAATGGTTAGTAGATTCAAACTGTGGACCTTTTGGTTAATAGCCAAGACCTTTAACCATAGCACAACCAGGACTCCCTGAAGCTGCTGTAAAGGCTGAAAACAAAGCCAGCCCTGAAGAATAAAGCACAAAGAGATGGAAATGAAACTACCTGGTTGTAGCTGGAATTCCTCAGAAATTGTCATTATCATGGGCCGTAACATTTCCTTTTTCTGTTTAAGCCACCTTGGTTTGGGTTTTCTAGGAAATGCATCTAAAAGTCCCAATATGTACTATATGGCATAACTATTAACTTCTTTCTCATAGATCTAGCTTTAGGCTTGTCAATTTGACTCTTGCATCCTTACTTTTGTGAATCAGTTATTATTAGTTAAGAATGAAATGAAATGGATCTCACATTAACCATTTGCACCACCCAGCAGCGCTGCCCCTACTCTGAGAACGGTTACCCTGAGGTAAGGACTTACCTGCCAGGCTTCAACTTTCTTGATATCTGCACAGGACCCATTGGTGAAGAGTCCTCTTCCCGGTAAGCATGTGTATATATCTTGCAGGGCGTGTGCGATGGAGTAGACTGCCAGGTAGACATTGTAAGAGATGCGCAAGTGCGTGTAATCCATGTATGGGGTCTCCACGCTGCTAATGTTCTCCTCCCCCGTACACAGAGGTCGGAAGGCAGTGGAGCTATTACCTAACCTGCTGCCATCTTCTTTGCGCTCTTTAAGTAAAGGTTCCATAGGTAAAGGTCCCTTAGCACCTTCTTGAAGGTGGCAGTTAAAGGTTTCTTCCCAAAACTCCTTGGCAAAACCATTGTGGACAGACTTCCTGGGATGCACTTTCTGCAAGAATTCCCGGAACCCCGGGATCTGCCCTGCCTTCAGACCAAAGCCAATCGTGCCTCCGACCACATGGAAGTACTCAGGCATGGCGATCAAGGAGGAGCTGGCCCAGGCCTCACTGGCCAGCCAGATCCTGCCCGTGATATTGCGCCTGACGATTTCTTTGATGAGAGGTTCGAGGTCTGGGCCGCTGGAGAAGACGACAATGACCTTGGCTGTGGAATTCTGGATCACCTCCACGACCTGCTGGATCTCTTCTTTATCAGAGTACTGGGAGATGAGTTCGCTGAAGTCAATGCAGATGTCCCTCTCTTCAGCTTCCTCTCGGAATTTCTCAATCCCCGGCCGGCCATAGTCATCATCCGCTGCGATGGTACCCACCCAGTTCCAGCGGAAATACTCGATGATGTCTGCCATGGCGGTGGCCTGGTGTTCGTCATTGGGGATCGTACGGAGGAAGGACTTGAACTGGTTCTTGTTGCTGAGGAGTCGGCTGGAGGAAGCATAGCTAACCTGGAACACAACAAGAACACAGCATGAGCGGGGAAGCAGGTGGGCTTGAAGGAGGTCGTGGACATGTTTTTTGGAGTACGCATTGATCGACAGTTGTTCACTGCAGACAGGATGCAAGAGAGTGAACCACCAGAACCGATTCTGACTCAAGATGAACATCAAAACACTAGTCAGTCATTTGGGAGCATTGGAATTCCTGATGGATGATTTGGATTGGGGCAGGAAGGAAATAAGCTTATGTTGCGAATTTTAAGAGGCTTCCTTCTAATTGTGCACATGTGTGGAGGTGCTGAAATGGGAAGAGGCTCATCCCCTTCCTACATGATGCCATAAGGGGAGGCAGAATGCAAAGAAGGAAAAGATTAGACTTGAGGTGGAAACCTAGTCCTGTAATTTATAAGATAATTGGCCTTGAATCTGACCACGTTAAGCCTCAGTTTCTCATCTGCTTGCCTTGCAGTACTCTCATGAATATTAAGTGATAGACTATGTGTATGCAGTGCCTGCCTCCCAAAGCTGTTAAAAAATCCAAGTGCTGGTTGTATATCATAAATGGAGGGGGCCGAGTCAATGGGGCGCTGCACTGCTAAGCCAAAGGCTGGGCTCTTCCGGCAGTTCAAATCCACCAGTCACTAAAAAGGGAGAAAGGCAGGCAGTCTCCTCCCCTGTAGTTTACAACCTTGGAAACCCAATGGGCAGTCTCAGCTTTGAATTGGTACCAATTCAACAGCAATGCGTGAAAATCCTAGGGAACCCATTCACAAAGATGCTTACACCTATATGTACCTTCTACTTGTTAGAACCAACTTCTGGTCTCAGTGTAATAGCTTCCTCTAAGTGCTGATGAGCAAGGATGTCAGTCTGGAGACTAAGGTGCACCTGATTCAGGCCATGCTCTTCACAATTACTTGCTCTGCATCAGAGAGCAATACGGTGACTAGGGTTGACAGAAGAATTGGTGCCTTTGAGTTGCGGTGCTGGAGAAGAGTGTTGAACATATGCATGGACTGCCAAGAGAACAAACAGGTCTGTATGGGAGAGAGTGAAACCAGATTGCTCCTTGGAGGCAGGGATTTTTGAAACTCTATTTCACATATTTTGGGTCTATGGCCAGGAGGCATCCATCCCTGGAAAGGGACATCATGCTTGGAAGGGTGGAGGGATAGTACAAGAAAGAGAGAGACCTCAAATGAGATGGTTTGACATGGTAATGGGTAGGTGTGTTGTAGACAGTGAGACTGGGTCAGGACAGAGCAGGCTTCAGAACTATTATACGTAGGGGTCACTATGTGTCACAGGAGACTCGATGGTACATAACAACAACAATAACAAACCTAACTAGCATAGGACATTGCATCTTGGAGGGCTAAACAAAAGGCCAGCAATTGAATCCATCCTTACGACAGAGAGTAGCAGTCTCCTCCCATAAATATTTACAACCTCGAAAACCTGATGGAGGGTTGCCAAAGATGGCTGTTGTTAGGTGCTGTCAAGAAGACAGTAAGTTTTTTAAATAAAACTACCTCTAAGGAGATTTGTTGGTGCTGTGTTTAAAGTCTCCGATGCTAATGGAAAGGTTGAGGTTTGAACCTGCCAGCCACACTGTGGGAGAAAGATGTGACAGGCAGCTTCCAGAAAGATCAGAGCCTTACAACCCTCTTTGGACAGTTCTGCTCTGTTGGGCTGCTCTGACAGGGCTGCTGTGTGATGGAACAGACTTGACAGTAATGAGTTTAACGTACTTTTGGAAGAAATCAAGTTCCCTGTGAGCAATCCCTTGGTGATGCAAACAGGAGTGAGCTTGACTGTTAACCAAAAAGGTTGGAGGTTCGGGTTCACCCAGAAGCACCTGTGTGATAAATACTTCTAAAAGTGTCAGCGTTTGGAAACCTTTAAGGTTTTTTTACTCAGTTTTAATGTGACACATGAGGTCTCCTGGAGTCAGAGTTATTACTGTGTGTTGTGGGTTATGAATCTCTGGATAATGCAAACAGTTAATGTATGTGGCTGTTCACTGAAAGGTTAGAAGTTCTAGTCCACCCAGAGGCTCCTTAGAAGAAAGATGTGATCTACTTCAGAAAATTCAGCCTTTGAGGACTTTATGGAGCAAAGTTGTATTCAGACACATGCGTGGTCACTATGAATCACAATCAATTTCACAGTAACTGGTTTGGTTTTGTAGGTTAAGAACCTAAAATTCTTTAGAGAAGCTGGAGTGGTTTTCCCTTTTGATTGCCTAATTGCTCTTTTCCTGCCCTTTATCTTCTCTTTCCAATCTTATTTCTATTACTCCCCCTTCCAGTTCTTCACAATGTGTTAGCTGTAATTAACCTCCATTTCAATAATCTCTGAGGGGGAAAAACCCCCACTGTTTAATGTTTTAAAAACTGACTGTTATTTTCTAGAAATCTCTGTTTACAGACCCAGTTGCAAGCTTTTGAACCAGGATTTTGCAACTCTAATTCCTCTCTGGGCACTTTAAAAATCCATAATTATCTACCTCTTGATCTGTCTTTTAAAAGTAGGTAAAAAATGATCTTAAAGGGGTAGAAACTAAAACCAAGATTTTCTCCTTGTAGATACGTTCACTTCAAGAATATATTTATAATATCTGTACAGTTTTTAAAAAAGCAAATAAACTGGAAGAACATGGCAAATACCATTTTGTATCCCCTAAAGAAAAAGAAAAACCCCTTGAAAATACACAGAACTTCAGTAAAGTAAAGGGAGAATTTAATGAATAATTTAGAAAACGGTTCTAACCAGCTTATTCCAACTGTTGTACTTATTCTACCCACAAGGTGGTGTGATCCGCATAAGAAATACTCTGAGTCTCGGCTCCACTCTGCAGAGCTCAGGCTCCCTGAGCCAGCTGTGTATTAGAATTGTCCCAGGGAGCTTTCTCATTGCCCTGACTGGATCTTAATTTACTTAAACCAGACTCTCCTGTGCGTTGGGACCCAAGCATTATTATTATTAAAGCTAGCAGATAATGCCAACATACAGTCACGGTAGAGAAGCCTGGTTTTGCCTGGTAAAGCATTGCAGTCAACTTCTTAGCATTTTTATAATTCACATCCAATTTAATTTTCTCCTCCAGCGTAACTACAAAGAGTTAAAAATATCTTCCTCATAGTCTTCGTTTATTTTATGGCAATTACATTTTATATCTGTTGGCCATGGGTCACAGCAACTTACTTTAACTGTGTACTTAAAGTATTTCAAAACAGTGTAAGCAATGAATCTCAGCTTACTGTGCAATAGGCTGAATTGATGAGATGTATTTCTGCATCTTTCTAAAGTGGGCTTTGGTATAAGAGTTAACAAGCCAGGGCTTCCCCATGGGAAACACCTTTAATTCCCGGAAATAATGATTCGGGAAATGATGACAGGCTTTCACAATTATGATGTGTTTATGAAGGGATAATGTCTGTCGCCAGGTAACAGAGACCTTCCAGCATAGAAAGGTGAACCTGGCAAAGGCGCTCTTTTAATTTTCACATTTCAACCCCGAAAAAGCAAACTTAAAAGTGTGGGCTTGGATTTAATTTAAAATTTGATTCAAGAGACGGATCACAGTAGCACGGATCTTCCGTCCACGGACATTTAGGTTGTTTCCAGCTCTTCACTATAATAAAATGATGTCACAGACTTAGTAATATTAACCTGAAAAGATGGTTGCTCTATAGTAGTAAGGGGGAAATAATCCATTTATAGACTGACATGGAGAGTTGGTTGTATTTTTTTCTTTTCTTTATAAGTGAGTGTGTATTGAAGCACTTGCTTGAGTGAATTGGTGGTGTCTGGACGGGCAACCATCTCCCCACCGCAGCTGAGCTACTGCAGGCAGGAGACTCCCTTTTTCTTATGTGCTCAACAATTAGTTGTTGAATGAAATGAAATATTCTGTATTTCAGGAATGTGTAAGCTCCTAATTTGCGGGAAAATATGTTTTCTATCCCTCTGAGCTAAGCAGGAGAGACAGTTGCTGTTACTTCCTGTTGAGTTGGAACTGACTCATAAACTGACCACACATAGGGTTTTCAGAGGCTGTAAATCATACGCAAGGAGATTGTCTAATATCTTTTTCTCATAAAGAACTGCTGTGTTCAAACAACCTGTTTTTGTGTTGGCAGCACAACTTCTTTTTTTTTTTTCTTCTTCTTTTTTTCTCTTTTTCTATAATT